ATTCTCAATGCAATAGTAAAATTTTCGGGTACGACATTAACTCATAATATAATAGAATACCTTCAAAATCCCTTTTTAACACATAATTTTCGGCCGCCCCTCTAAATCGTTTGCATGCCGAGCACGCATTTGCCCTCCGCTAGAACCGACCCTGGCTTTGTAGATGATCGCGGAGGAGAAGCAGAGATGCCAGTCGGGCCGGGTTTTTCGCGCATGCGCAGCAAGAATAACCTTTAGCAGTGTCGTATCCACGGTAACAGAAGGGGTGCTATGGTTATTGTTGTGGCTATAAGCGCGAAATCATGAATATATTTATCCTTATTACTTATATATTGTCTTTATATATTATCCTATATTTGTCCTTAAATCATGAATATATTTATAAAATTATGCTGAGGTAATTAAGATACCCCTTTTTAGTCGTGCGTATACTTCATTGACTCTATGTTCGCCGCGTCTGCGTGTAAAAAACTGACCCAACTGGCATTACTGAGGGGAAGGGAGGTAAAGTACATCGGTCGAAAGATGGTGGCGCACTATGTCAAAGCCACCTTCAGGGCCGGCATGACCTTTCGTGGGGCCGGGTTCAACAATTTTGCGGGGCCTGAATTCACATTAAAATCTTACACTTAAATTTTTCAACGAGGAATTATGTATTTACGAATGCTGTTACACATTATATATTGCTTATAAGATGAATATTAAATAATATTATTTTGATGATTTTTGTCACTCCTTAAAATGAATCATCGCTAATAACAAAATGTTTTGCATCTGTTAATGATATCATCATTCCGTAAAAAGTTAATCAAAATTCTCGTAGAACCTACCTTGCGTCGGCCCTGGCCACCTTTAATTCGCTTCAAGCATCCCCAAACATAACCTGAACCATATTCTGTGGCAATGCCCTCTTTTAGAACAGCACAGACAACAGCTCACCGACGATCTACGATATAGGATAGCAGTTTGGCAGTCGGCCTGGCGCATCGAAACATTTTTATCAAAATCATACCTCAAGGAACTCAAAATAATAAGCCAATTCCTCCGGAAACACGATATTTCCATTTAACATCATACAACGTATATTCTTTCCTCCATAACACTTATTAGAACTTGCACGTCTATCATGGATATTATTGTTAGTAATTCAACCTCATACTCATGTAAGCATATGTAAATATATACATGTCATATATGTAAACATGTATACAGTCAGTGTAAGAAGTATTCGTATACCAATCAATTTAAAATAAAATTAAACAAAAAGAAATACATAAGAGGTTAACATTAAAAATAATAAACTTTAATTTACGCAAATTCTACTCTAAAAATATGTAGGAATGTTGGTTAATTATTTCTTCCCCTAAAATTTACCAATAAAATAAATATATGAAGTTTTATTTTGAATTGGTTCCTGTACGAATACTTATTACTAGACTGCGGATCTTTATGCAAAATAAAATCTTCACAAACGTGCCTAAGAAAATTGGAACCTAAATTGGAATTTATTTTATTCTGGAAATATTATAACATAAACTTTACTTTCAATCTTTTTTATATTCTTGTATATTGTTTGCATTTTGTAGGTTCTTGCATATTCAAGTTTCCTATAAATGCATAAAGATCCGCAGTCTACTTATCACACTGACTGTATATCCCTAAAATATATCAACCACAAACTGAGACTGTTTAGACATTTGCCTAGATGTCCGTGGCCTGGAAGTCAAATGCTTGGCGTGGCCAGGCAAAGCATTCTCAGATCATCAATACTCATACTTTCTCTCTCGCAGACTTCTACATATGAGTACATTTTCATTTTATTGTGTTTTAAAATATTTCTAAGGACACTCATTGACGCAGATACCTGTCCTCTCACAGGCTTTCAGATAATTTGTCAGTTTAAAACGCTGACAATATGAGTACATTTTCATTATTTTACATTTTAAAATAATTCTTATTCATCAAAACCTTGACCTTGCTTGGCCACACCAAGCATTTGACTTCCAGGCCACGGACATCTAGGCAAATGTCTAAACAGTCTCAGTTTGTGGTTGATACACTATTTGGCTTCTTCATTTCATTGCTAAAATGTGGAGCAGTCAGTTTATATGAGTTGTCATTAGGGTCTGAATGTCTCCACTGTTGAACACAGCATTTTAGCTGCGCATAGTTGGAAAGCACCGAATTTGATATTATGTTACACAGTGTCACCTTGCACTTTACTGGATAGGACCTTCATGTACTGGCTGCTCATTTCGATTTCACATCTTTTTCTACTTTCTTGAATTTTTTTAAGCGGATATTCTATTTTTCTATGATTACTCTTTAAGTCCTCCACTTTTTCATGTACTTGGCGTAATTTTTTTACTTTTTTGAAGTTTTTTATAAGGTTACACTGACTGTATATCCCTAAAATGTACTCGGTCTATGAACTCGATTTAGAGCCTATGACCTTTTAAATAAATTCACTTCAATTCAAGCATCTCTAATCCATATAGTCCAAGAGCCCACAACAGAAATGGGTGACTCATTTCATTACACAAATGAACCTGTTTTCCGAAGATGATATGTCTTCCTAGTTCAGAAATGTTTGGTCTGGCATGATTTCAGTGGTGCAACGCTTCACTATGGCATATTATAATAATTTGATTTTTGGCCAAAATCATTACTACTGAAATTTTTAGTGTGTATTGTTGACATACCAAATTGCATAAAAAAGTTGGTGCTAATTGGATCTGACTGTTGGAAAACCTTGTCGGAAAACCGAAGTAGTTCATTAAAACATCTAATAAAACTATCAAGTAATTGATATCATTATTTCTGATACTTTTTATATAAACAATATGTAATACATAGGGTTAAAAAAATTTGGACTGGCAAACTTTGAGTGGTGATAAATCGGTCTAGCAGCCGTTTAAAAGAACGAACACACATGCGTTACCGGCGCGCGTTGAGATCTCGATAATCTAATAAAACTATCAAGTAATAATTATTTTTAAACATTATATACATTAGTTATATATAAAATATTGCTGTGATGATTTTTATTTCATACAATTATTATTATTATTTAACTTAAATAAATCATGAAATTGCATGGCGCATATATGTGTTCGCTCTTTTAAATGGCTGCCAGACCGATTTATCACCACTCAAAGTTTGCCAAACCAAATTTTTTTAACCCTATGTATTACATATTGTTTATACAAAAAGTTTCAGAAATAATGATTTCAGTCAAACTACTTCGTTTTTCCGACAAGGTTATCCGACTGCCAGACCCATTTAGCACCACTTACAATCTGCCAGACCAACTTTTTTATACAATTTGGTATGTCAACAATACATTCTAAAAATTTCAGTAATAATGATTTCAGTGAAAGATACTGTTATTTCTTACATGTTTACGACTTTCTAGCGTAGCGATGCACCGTTTGTGCGCTGCCAGCCTTGGATTATTTTTATTCTTTAGTAGAAAACAGTCAAATACCAAAAGGATATTTGTAATGAAATTGGCCGAAATTTTATGTCGCGGGCTCTCGGACTAATAGTATACATATCAGTGATCTGTAGGTTCAGTGAGTCGCGTGATGTATCATGGTAGTTCCGACAGATGTCAGCAACGTACAATTCGTCGACAAAAAAGGCGAGCTCCTCGTTCGAGTTCCGTAACCATAGTGGTAGGGCCGACTGAAATCGATCTTCCTCTCCTTAGCGAACAAGAACGCGATAAGCGGACCCATCGAATACACGTAGAGCGCGGTGGTATCGCGTCGTCGGTCGTTCCATAAGGGAAAAGGCGTACGTACCGGCCGAGGTACACACCGCGAACCACGAGTCCACACGAGTCGCGCGTCGACATTTAGCAAGACTCGTTCGCTCGCGCGAATGTCCGCGTTTGCGCGAACCCCGACAATAGAACGGTGAAAACGTGACGCGGAATAATATACTTACGCGGAGCACTGACTGGTGGTGGCATAGGAAAGTTCGCGCTGCTAAGCTTTTTGATAATTTTCGCGCGAAGCGTAGACCACTGGGTAGCCAGGGTGTCCGCGAGGCCTCACGTTCGCGGTTTGAGACTAAACAAGAACGAGGGACTAGAGAGGGATCGCAATAAGAGCCTCGCACGCGGCTCTCGTCACGTCCCGGACAAATTAATTCTCCCTATACTGTTATGGAGACTCTCGAGTCGAGTCGCGTGTGCCGTCTCTGCGGCAAGCAATCCGGTATCTCGATAAATATATTCGACAAGAACGAAAACCACGTGAAGAAAATCAACGCCGTTCTCCCGATCATGGTACGTCATATACATCTTCGCACTCTTCTCCCTTTGGTTAAGAGCGTTTATGCGCGCATTCGATGTGTCTCTTCCTGATGATCGTGAACGCCCCCTCCTCAGACACCTTTTCTTGCCACGAATCGAGCACGCAACTAGCTTTCGTTTCGATTAAGCCTAATATAATCAACATCCAGTCCCAGTTCCCCCTTTTTACTATT